AGTGGATGCACTTAAAAAGTAATCCTTATTGTTGTACTAGTTATTGAGAAAATGAACATCGCTCTAAAAGGTGCTATAAATAGTGTAATGTTTCGCACTTTTCTCTGATCAAAAACAGTCATATGGTAAACTGAGGGTGTTTGTATCTGTAGATGAAATACAGACTATTTGTATACTTCGGATATTTACAGTCATCAAAACTTTGACTCTAGTCAAGGATCTAAAACAGTTGTGTGCGTTTCTATTTGCAAAGCATGTCCGTCAGATAGTTTGTCGATGAGCTATAGCTGCTAGTTTCATTAACGTGTGGTGCAAAAGAAATGAGCCTTTCAGCATTTCCCATTTTTCAGGAAAAGGTTTAAAGAGCTGCTAGATAACACATTTTTTAAACCTGTAAACAATTTTATTTGCTGGTCGCTTACGAGAAGTAAAAAGTTAAGCAGGCATTCTGTAGATCATAGAAAGCTACCATAAGCACGAATCTGGCACTTCCACAGTTTTGTTTTGCGACTACAAGCTTTCACTCCCACCGTTTCTTCTTTATTTCTTTCTGGTAGTGATCTGAGTCATAATGTCGTGTACGTTAGCAAAGAGCAGGATGAAAAAACACATACTGCCTTTTTTATTCTAGACTATAAGAACAACGAATTAAGTCCATTTCTTTGCTTCTTTCCACATATCAACGGCAAAAGCATTTTTGATCAAAGGCAGAAATGTCGACATTTGGTACTATATTTCAGGTGACAACTTTTGGTGTAAGTCATTGTTCAGGTGTTGATGCATCGTCCAAGGGGTTCCGTCACGAATGAAACTAAACGAAAGTGACACAGTTGGATCGTCGTAAACCAGGGCAATCAAAATTGACAACACCGCGTAAAGAACAAGATTTAGTTAAAATATTATCTGGTACAGAGGCAAATTTAACACTAGGGACACCAATTTGTCTCGTTGTTCAGAATCAGGACTTCACACCAGCAGATTATGCTAATATGCTCGATATACCACGTTCATCACATGCTGACTGTACTTATCAGAAGAAATATGGCATTCGTCATCCTCCGGCGGAGGAAGATCAAGTGCAAGAGAAACCATCGGACGAGTAAAACTTTGTGTGGAACATGATGAAAGGAGCAAATTACTGATCTGATTTGGTTGTTGTAGGTTGCATGCAGCTGGAGCTATTGCTGAAAAATGGTTATATGAGAAGTATGGAATAGAAATTGTTGCTTATGTAAGTGGCATTGGACAAATTCAAATACCAACGGAAACCGAAGCATTACTCAAACAGTCGATGCTAAAAAGTTCAGAAGTAGATCAAAGTTTAGTGCGTTGTCCAGATGAGAAAACGGCAGAATTAATGATTCATGAAATAGAAGCAGCCTTAAATGACCAAGATTCAGTTGGTGGTATCATAACATGTGTGTGTCGAAACATTCTTCCTGGTATTGGTATCGTAGTATTCGATGAATTAGAAGCCATGCTAGCACATGCTATGCTTTCTATGCCAGCCACTAAAGATACTTACAGTTTCAATAGCCTGTCCCATGAGTTTCGATAATAACGTTTGCTGCCAAAGCGTACACAGGAGAAGTAAGACAGCTGTCCAGCCGATATTCTCTATTTGTTTCAGGCTTTGAAATTGCTAGTGGATTTGAAGGAACAAAGATGAAAGGTTCACAAGTAAAACATCCTCTTCCGATAACAAATTGGGAACTACAACGAACAATAGTGGTGGTATTCAAGGTGGCATCAGTAATGGCGAACCCGTGCTATTTCGTATGCAAGGTTCTCAATTGTTTTTAGGAGTGGCGGGGGCTAAAAATTTGGCAGAAAGTGTATAATTTTTTTGGCGAAAAGTTGTCAAGCTCAGGGATGCTGGCTCAGAATAGTATTGATTTGACAGAAAACAAAACTATCGAAAGAAGAAACACCGAAAACGAGATGTCGAAAAAAAATGTCGAACGGAAAAATGCCGATCATACGAAAATGTTGAAAAGAAAATGCCGAAAGAAAAATGTCGAAAAGAGAATATCGAAAAGTCTTTAGGTCGAAAAAGGAAATGGCAATCGCATAAAAAAGTCAAAAAGGTTTAAGACGTACGTGCTTGGACACATTTAGTTCTCACAGTGTTATCATACTTTGGTTTTAGATGTTGAGAGTTGTGCTCGTTCATTTCAAACCTCTCATCAGTAACGATGTTGAGATGTTGTTGGTTTATTTGTTCTAGATCATCCATGTCGTCATGCAGCCCACTTGGTGATTAATGTATACATCGATATTCACAACATTTTTTTTTTAACTTTTATTTTTAGTCAGGTTACATGAATTTCGGCCCACGAATATTTTGTCGCGGACTTTCGGCCCGGGCCGAATGTGTGAAAGGAATTTCGGACCGAACCCTAATTTATCTAATTAATTTTATAAATAACTAGTAAACTTCATGGTGCTCTGCACTATGCACTTTCAATAAAACGTCGTGCTCAGCAGTACGCCATGATGCTGGGCAGTATGACAAGGTGCCTAGCAAGGTAATATAGTGATAAAAAATATTTTGACGATTCGGATATCGATCGAAACACAGGTTAAATATTCTGTTGAGGAAGCTGAGATTATGTTTGTTTTCATTATTATGTAATTCATATAACGAGTGTTACTTGATTTTTTTTGATCCGAGCACCATGAAGTTTCCTAATTATTTATAAACTAATTACGGAAATGAAGGTTCGGTCCGAAATTCCTTTCAGACTTTCGGCCCGGGCCGAAAAATCGCCGGAATTTCGGACCGAGCCGTTTTTACGACGGTTTT